CCCCGCCCCCGCCGGCTGTTGGTCCCGCCCCCGGGCCCGCACCAGCAGCTACCCCGGTCCCACCAGTGGTGGGTGTGGCCTTGAAGGGGGTCCGGGGTGGGGCATAAAACCCCATTTTTGGGGTTTAGCCCATGTGGTGCGCGCTCTCGCTGCGCAGCCCCCACTATTTTTATTTTTTTTCAATTTTTTTTCAATTTTGTTTTTGTTTTTTTGGGGGGGGGGTCCGGAGCCGGGGTTAGGGGTGCCCACCCCTGGACCCTCGGACCCCCGCCGGGGCTCGACAACCCTGAGGGGAACTATAGCACACCTACCCAAAAATGCAAAGATCCCTGAAAAGCCGGAGGATGCTTCCACTAAGCCTTGGGAAGCCCTCCGCATTAGTCAAAAGGAATGGGAGAGAAGATCCAAACTGCGCGTGTGCTTGCATTGTCAAAAGCCTGGGCACGCTGTGCAGGAATGTTATCGTCTGTAGGGAAATAGGCAAAGGGCGTAGAAGAGTCGTCAGCATTCTCTACAACAAGGGAAGCTGAACAGTCAGCTGCAGGCCCCTCCAAGGAGCCTGAATTTGATCAACAGCCTGCTCTTGAAGCCCGAACTGATGCTAAAACCTAGACTTTTGCAGTCCAAGTACTTTACACTGAGCCTTGGGAGGAAATTAAGGAAGTAAACTTCCACTCTCACCTGGAACATTGGCTGCAGCTCAAGCAGCAACGCCGTGTTCAAGGGAGTGTGGAACTGATCTTCTTTAAGCTGCTCATTAAACGCCGATACATCCGTTTGTTGATTGATAATGGCTCAACAACTAACTTCTTTTCTCCTAACGGGATTCGTAAGGCGGGCCTGGGAATGAAGCAAGTGGAATTGCAAAACCCTTGTCAGACCCAGGTAGGCAACCAAGAGGTTGTCACCTCAACAGATGTTGTCAAAGGTGTGCACTTCATTTCGACAAGGATCACACTGTCACACATGAGCTGAACTTTTACGTCTTGGACAAATGTCCTTTCGACGCGGTCATTGGCTTGGGCTGGTTAAAGGCTCATTGTCTAAGGACCATGTGGGCGAATACTTAGTTCGTGGTGCGTGATGCCAAGGGGAACGAGCGTACCGTTCTATTGGACGAGATGCGCGAGTCCCCTGTGACTCTTTTGAGTGCAAACAAATTCTGCAAATCAGTGCGCAGGCGCAAGGAAGCTGAGCATGTGCATGTAGCTCTTGTAAAGCCTCTCCATGTGCCTTTTACTTTTGCTGCATTTTCTACCTCGAAAAATAATTCTACTTCTACTATCTCTACTTTTGTTTCATCTACTTCTACTGTAAAGAATCAGTCTGCTTCTAATCCAAGTACTTCGAATTCGGTTGTAATTGCTGTAAATTCTCAATCTGATTTTCTCTCTCTTGGTGAGGATAATCGTCCACCGGAAGTCCCAATAAATATTCGACGTCTATTAGATTGATTTCCTGGAGTTCTGGCTGAACCTCGTGGAGTTCCCAAGCGTCCGGTCAAACACAAGATCGAGATAATAGAAGGGAGTGTTCCTCCAAAGGGTTGCGTCTACCGTATGGGACAAGGCGAGTTGGAGGAGTTGAGGAGACAAATTGATGATATGATTGATCGTGGATGGATTAGGCCTAGCAAGTCTAAGTTTGGTGCACCTGTCCTGTTTGTACCGAAGAAAGGAGGCAAACTCCGGATGTGTATTGACCATCGTGGCCTAAACCGTATCACCCGAAAGAATGCTTATCCCTTGCCTCGTATAGATGATCGACTAGATGCGGCAGGTGGGTGCAAGGTCTTCTCCAAGATCGACCTCAAGTCTGGCTACCACCAGATTGAAGTTGATCCGAGCGACCAGCACAAAACTGCATTCAAAACACGCGATGAGCTGTAAAAATTCATCGTTATGCCCTTCGGTCTTACGAATGCACCAGCCACATTTCAGTGCCTCATGGACAAGGTTCTCTGTCATCAGCTCAACAAGTTTGTTGTTGTTTACCTCGACGACATCCTGATTTTCAGCAAGTTCATGAAAGAGCACGTCAAACACCTTGAGGAGGGTTTGCAAGTCCTCAAGGAGGCACAACTGCACCTCAACTTAGAGAAATCTGAGTTTGGAAGGAACAACGTCATCTATCTTGGGCACCGGTTGTCTGCAAACGGCCTTGAGTCGGAGGCAACCAAGGTTGAGGTCTTACGAAAGTGGCCTCAACCGGCGAACGTACGCGAACTACGTTCTATTCTTGGTTTGGCTTCGTATTACCGGAAGTTTGTGCCCAAAATTTCTGTCATTGCTCACCCACTCTTGAGACTAACAAGCAAGAATGTTGCCTATGCGTGGGGTGAGAAATGCAAGACTGCGTTCCAAGCCTTGAAAGAGGCTTTGGTAAGTCATCCTGTGCTCCGCATTGCGGATCCCGACCTCACGTTCGTGGTTGCTACGGACGTTCACCCAAAAGAGCCTGAGTCAGCCAGTATGGGATTGGTGCTACAACAAGATGATGGCGATGGCCTACGTCCGCTCGAATATTACAGCAAACGCATGCCCAGCCACAAGGTAGCTACCTCCACATACATGTGTGAGCTCTATGCCTTGCGAGAAACACTCACGCATTGGAAGCACTACCTTTCGGGTCGCCACTTCAAGGTCTACTCAGATCATCAGACCTTGCAGTGGATCAAGATGCAAACAAATCTCTCCCCGACGTTGACCCGATGGCTGCATGATATTGATGTTTACAATTTTGGACTGAAACATAAGAAAGGTTGTTATAATCGTGTTGCTGATGCTTTGTCGCGTCATCCTAAGTTTTTGACTTGCCTTGTGAGCTCATCTGACTTCTGAAGGAAACTGAAGCAGCTCAAGGATGACCCTAGCAGTCAGCCTGATTTTCATGAGTGTGAGGGTCTTGTATCCCGCCGGTATGGGAAGTTTGATCGTTTGTGTGTACCCAACGATGCGTCTCTCCGGACTCATTTCTTGGATTTGGCACATGGTAGGAGTGGACACTTCACCTTTGAGAAGAGTTATGGAAGTCTTTTGCATCAGTTTGATTGGTCAGGAATGAAGGGATCAACTCAGAAGTTTATTGTTGAATGTCAAGTATGTCAAAGAACCAAGGACCATAGGCATAAGCCTTATGACCTGATGAAACCCCTCCCCATTCCTGATGGACCCGGTGAGTCGATTTCCATCGACTTCACGGACATGGGAAAGGTGATTGAGGGAGGAAATTCACAAGTCATGGTCATCGTGGATCATTTTTCCAAATTTATTAATTTGATTCCTTTCCCTCCCCATGCCCCAACCGAGCTTGTGATCAAAGAATTTCATCAGCAATACATTCTGCAATTTGGCCACCCGAAAACTATTGTAAGTGATCGGGGCACCAGATTCATTAGTAAAGATTGGCAGAACTTCACTTCTCAGATCTACGACATTAAACTCAACAAGACTTCTGGTCGACACCCCGAAGCCAATGGATTGGTCGAGGAAATCAACCAGACTGTCATTCAACTACTTCGCTCGTTAATTGTTCCAGATCAGAACACGTGGGACAAGGAGTTACACAAAGTGAAGGGGTTGTACAACAACTCCATTCACTCTGCAATTGGCATAACACCGAATCAGTTGCAATACGGACGACAGCTGCACAATCCTCTCTCCTATCTGTTCCCCGAACGGTCACCTGGTCTGACGCTCGGCATGCCTGGCTACAATGCCAAGTATGCACGCTTGCTCAAAGCTGCTATCGCCGCAATGAACAAGCGTCAGCATGCCATGATCAAACATGCTAACAAGTCGCACAAAGAACGGAACTTCGAAGTAGGAAATTATGTCTGGGTCAAAGTGTCTGAGTTTTTTTACGAAGAGAGCGTATCACGAAAGCTTCTTCCATTGAACTATGGCCCTTGGCAGGTTCTAAAGGTGGTTGGCGATGATTTTGGTCCTTCGTATGTGATTGACGTGCCTCCTCGTCTGCGCACATATATGGTCTTTCACACGTCCAAACTGTTTCCACACATCGATGATGAGATTTTTCCCTTCCGAGATCCTATGATACCTCGTCCTATCGACGGCGGCCATGAGATAGACAAAATTGTTTCCCATGAAGGAAGAGGGAGGAACAGACAGTACAAGGTTCACTTCCTCTATCACCCGTTGAACGAGTTCTTCTTGATTGACCGAAAAGAGCTGCTAAAGAATGCTCCCCGTGTTGTTAACGCTTATGAACGACAGATCGCTGATGGACAGACTGCTAAGTTTTCTGCAAAACTCACTCCTCATGGTCTTACTAAATCTCACTTTCTGATCTACGCCTACGACGCATTACTCGCTCGAAGGGACCTTGCTCTTGAGAGGGGGGTATTGTAATGACCCGCCAAAACACAGACTGAGAACACTGCTGATTTCTGGGATTTGCCGCTGGAATGAATGCCTTGCTGAGATTCCCGCATTCTGCTGTGGTTTCCAAGTCTGTGTGTGTGTGTGTGCCTGCTGGTTTGCGTGCCTGTCTGAGTGCTTGTCGGCTGAGTGTGCGTGTGACCCGCAAGGGTACTTGCTGGTTGAAAGGCCCCGCATGGCCGTTACTTACCTGTGGCCGTGACTTTGAGGGTTGCAGCGGGGAACACACTCAAGTAGCGGGGGTAGGCCCGCGACACTTAGAGCAGCGGGAAAAACACTCAAGTAGCAGGTAGGCTGGTACCACTCAAGTAGTGGTAGAAGTGTCGGGTACAGGAGGCCGAGCAGAAGAAGACAAAAAGTTGGCATTTTTAGAGGACTAGTAGCGGTAGGTTAGAGGTAGGCCGGTACCAGTCAAAGTAGCCCCGAGTCTAGGGCCTCTCCGGACGATAGCAGAGCCTGCAATGATGTTTCCCTCCGAAAGGGAGGAGGTACCGGTTGCTGGGAGGCCACTCGGCCTAGGAAGTCACTGCCCAAGAGGCCAGTAGGCCGCTATATCTTCCGGAGGAGTATGCAAGGATTGGCGACATGCTGATAATAGCATTTCGTTCTACCTGAAAAATTCCGATATTAGCATTTCGTTTTCACGCAACAAATATCCGAAAATTTTCTGAAAGTAGCATTTCGTTTTCTGATATTTTGCATACATAGCCGAAAATTTCTGATGTGAGCATTTCGTTTTGTAGGCCTATTAGGATAACGATAGAGGTGGTCATATTCTCGGAAACCGGATTTATCCTTATCTGAAAATCGAATCTCCATTCTATCTCGCAATTTTTTTTTTGAAAACCGAAATCTTGCGAAGCCTATCAGCATTTCGTTTTAGGCATATTAGGAGGTTGTCATATTCTCAGAAACTGGATTTATTTCTTTTCTGAAAATCGCATCTCTACTCTATTTCGCAAAAAAAAAAATTCAAGATCGCATTTTGTGAAAGCCAAAACTTTGCGGCACCTGGCCTAGATCTCGCTCATAGTACTCTTCTGACATACCTCACTCATAACAGATCGACAGATATATAAAAAAAAAAAAAGGGGGGGGGATCCTCTTTTTTTTTAATATATTTATTTTATTATGTTGATTAGGACCGGGAGGAAAGTATAGCTTGGTTGGTTCCCTACCTGCGTTTTCCGTCCCACCCACCCCTTTGCCTGCATTCCCGGTTTGGTACAGTGCCACATCAGCAGTGCCACATCAGCAACAGTGCCACGTCAGCAGTGCCATGTCAGCAACAGTGCCATGTCAGCAGTGCCACGTCAGCAGTGCCACGTCAGCAACAATGCCACATCAGCAGTACCACGTCAACAGTGCCACAGTGCCACATCAGCAGTACCCCGCCACCATGACGGGCTCAGTTCTGGGCATGCCAGGCCAACTGGCCAATGAGTCCATTGCCGAGTACCGACAGCGTTTCGAAGCTCAGCTCGCACTGATCGAGGCTGAGGAACAGCGTCAGGYGGCAGYCGAGGCTGCCCGCCTACAAGCTGAAGCGGCGGTAACAGCTGAAAAGCAGCGGCTTCAAGCCGAAGCAGAAGCAGATACCCAGGCACGCCGCAAGGAGGCCCAGGATCTGTTACTGCGGCATGAAGCCACCAGCATCGAAAAGCTCAAGTTTTGGCACTTTGAACCATCTGAGCAGCACGACGACGCCACACCGGAAGAGCAGCACAAGGAGTTCCTTGCCAAACTCATGACCCGGTTGGTTTACACTTGTAACCACCTGCAGTCCGAGCTGGCAAATCTCCGACGAGCGGTGCAGAACCACAAGGCCCTGCGCGAGGATGCTACACGGGCACTCGATTCCCGTATACAGGACTTGGAGTTGGTAGCACCAAGACCAGATGCTGGCGCAGCCAGCAGTGCACCCTCTACCTACCAACTGGAGGAACGAGTTGACCACGTCGTCGCAATGCTCGGCGACATCAACACCTTCACTGCACCAGCCACCATCAGCAAGCAGCTGGACACCTTGAAGACCGAGGTTCAGCAACTGCACCAGCTGCCCAACAAGGATGGCAACACCACGCAGCACTACAAGATGCCGACATTCCGCATCGAAAAGTTCGATGATTATACGCATCAAGACCCTATCCCCTGGTGGGAAGGCTTTACGACGGAACTTCGGATTCTTTTTGTCCCCGAGCGCTCGTACATCGGCACGCTGTTTCTCAACTCAAAGGGCGGATGTCAGATCTGGCTTAGCCACCTGGCAACCATCCACGACGTCGACGTTGCCGATCTGCACACGAAGATTCCTTGGGCAGATCTGACGAAGCTATGGAAGAAGCGGTTCATCGTGGACGACGCCCCGACGCTCGCCATCAACCGCCTCTTCACGATGACGCAAGGCAACACACCGACACACAACTGGCTCACGGAATGGCAAAAGATCGCGGCGACGCCCGATCTCGAATTGCCATTTTCGCATCTGCGCCGCGAGTTCTACAACTGGTCATGTGCCGCCTTGAGCCTGGCACTTGGTGATCGCGAGCAATACGCAACCTTCGCCGAAATCATCGACAAGGCAAGGGAGATCATCAAGACCAATCGGGCAGTTGCACACGAGAAGTCAACATGGCAGCCAACCTATGTGGAGAAAGGTAAATTTGGTCCGCATCCACAGCATGTCGCTGCAGTCCACACGGACAACATTGTGGAAGACCCGGCAGCCACCCAAGCATCACGTGAGGGAGATCAGGTGGCTGCTGTCCAGCCGCGAAGCAACAATAACTCCCGAGGAAAAGGGAAGGCGAAAACCCCATCGCCGGCCGGAAACGGACAGCCAGCACCATGGGTCAAGTTTCACTTGACCGAGGCCGAATACAAGTGGCGCGGCCGCTATGGCTGGTGCTATTGGTGCAACAACACCAAGCACAAGACCTCCCAATGCCCAGATCAAGGCAAGGAGGATGTTCGGCCGCGCATCAACTCGAGAAACTGAGTTGCGCAGGAGGTGAGGCAACCCCACCTCTCACTCCGCCAGATTCGGCCGCCTTGCTAGCGGCCTCCTACACATCTGGGGAGGATGCGAATGTCGCAAGTCCTCGGTTTACTTACGAGGGTTATGCTGTCCACTTGGTCCCACCGTTGGACCAACCACTCCACGTGCAACAATCCACCGCATGCCCGGTTTCACTACCATCGGCAACCGAGCCGGCAACTTCGCCGCCATCTATCGCCGGGGATTCGACGACATGGTCAAGACTTGAAGAGCTCGACCCGTTGAAGTTTGCGGACTTCCAATGGATGCCCTTTCCCCGGTCCGGTCGATTGCCGAAACCGCATTGCAACGTGCTCATGGCACAATTGCGGGATTACTTGCACACTGTAATACCCACTCCGTTGATGGATGCCGGAGTAGAGGTTGTCGACCTTCACGCCTACATTGCGAAGATCGACCGCGAGTTCAAGACACAACGGTACGACGACATCGACACACCATTGTTGTACATACGCATTCAGATCGGAGAGGCGACGTGCAGCGCTTTGATCGATTGCGGAGCTACTCGCAACTACATGAGCCAAGACTTTATGGTATACGCTGGCCTAGTCGCAACCCACGCAAGTCACGTTGGCCGACGGTCACATGCACAAGTCAATCGACCGGTGCATTGATGCCGTCCCCGTGTACTTTGCCCCGCATGCAACCGAGGCCGTGTCCTTCGATATTTTGGACACCAAGTTCGACATGATCTTGGGCATGTCATGGCTGCGAAGCGAGGATCACCCGGTGAACTTCTACCAACGCACCGTTCACGTTCGTGATTGGAACGGAGTACTAGTCCCATGCACGGTGCCTCCTCCTCACCCTTCGATCAGCTGCCACGTGGTGTCCGCCGCAAGCATTCGAGCTTCCATCATCCGGGATGACATGGAGGAGATGGGGGTGTGTTTTCTCCACACCCTCCCGCCCCAAGACATTCCATCGACGGACTCACCACCGGACCCACGCATCACCGAGCTTCTCGATGCCTACGGCGACCTGTTCGAAACCCCGCACGGAGTAGTACCGGATCGGCCCATCCGCCACGAGATCATCCTCGAGGATGGGGCCGTACATCCGCGTGGTTGCATCTACCGCATGAGCGAGGAAGATTTAAGTGTGCTAAGGGCACAACTCGACGACCTTCTCGAGAAAGGCTGGATTCGGCCTAGCTCTTTGCCATACGGTGCTCCTGTTCTCTTCGTCCGGAAGAAGAACAAGGAGCTGCAGTTGTGCATCGATTATCGCAAGCTCAACGCGCAAACCGTCAAGAACGTCGGCCCTCTTCCACGCATTCACGACCTCCTCGAACGACTGGGCGGCGCCAAGTTCTTCTCCAAGCTTGACCTCAAATCGAGATATCACCAACTCGAGATCCGACAGGAGGACCGCTACAAGACCGCGTTTAAGACGCGATATGGGCATTTCAAATGGCTGGTTATGCCTTTTGGCCTTACAAATGCCCCGGCCACATTCCAAGCGGCTATGACAACGGAGTTCCGACACATGTTGGATAGATTCGTACTCATCTACCTCGACGACATCTTGGTGTACAGCCAGAGTTTGGACGAGCATGTGGAGCACCTGCGCACCGTTTTGGAGCGGCTACGACAAGCCATGTACAAAGCCAACCGCGACAAATGCAAATTCGCGCGGCAAGAGCTGGAGTACTTGGGACATTATGTGACGCCGCAAGGCATCCGTCCACTTGCGGACAAGATCGAGGCCATCCGCGTATGGCCCGAGCCCACCAACACCACGGACGTTCGTTCATTCATGGGGTTGGCAAACTACTATCAACGCTTCATCACCGGGTACTCAAGGATTGCTGCACCTATGACGAGATTACAATCGCCAAAGGTGCCATTCGTATTCGATGACGACGCACGCCGATCATTCCAAGCACTCAAGATGGCCATGCTCATGGCACCCGTCCTTAGCATCTATGACCCCACCCTGCCAACGAGAGTGACAACCAATGCTTCCGGCTATGGCATTGGGGCGGTCTTGGAACAACATGACGGCGACGATTGGCACCCTGTGGAGTATTTCAGCCACAAAGTGCCTCCCATCAATTCACTTGATGATGCAAGGAAGAAGGAGTTGCTCGCGTTCGTGATGGCTCTCAAGCGATGGCGGCACTTCCTCCTTGGGCGTCGTAGGTTCACATGGGTCACGAACAACAACCCATTGACCTACTACAAGACGCAGGATACGGTGAGCATCACGATCGGACGATGGCTGTACTTCATCGACCAATTTGACTTCACACCAAAACATCTCCCCGGCCTCTCCAATCGCGCAGCAGATGCACTCTCGGAAAGACCCGATCTTTGCGCTATGACACATCATGCCTTCGCATTTGACGAGGAACTCCAGCGACACTTCATCCGGGGCTATGAGTCCGATCCGGATTTCGCCACGTTGTACGAGCAGCTATCTTCGGATCACCCGCCGGCCAGCCATTATCGCATCGTCGACGGGTACTTGCTCCTTCACTCGAGAGGCAAGGACTTATTGTGTGTCCCACATGACCGTCGTCTTCGGACTCGCCTTCTCGTTGAGTACCATGACTCGCGACTCGCCGACCATTTTGGAGTCAATTGCACTATTGCACGACTTCGGCAACGATTCCGATGGCCTGACCTCATTACCGATGTCACTCGGTATTGCGACTTTTGCGAAGTTTGCCGACGAAGCAAGCCCCGCAACTGCAATCCCTACGGCGAGTTGCGCCCGATGCCTATCCCACAGGAACCCGGCCTCTCCATTGCCATGGACGTCACGGGTCCGTTTCCCCGCGACCGGCTCGGGCACGACGACATCCTCACGGTCGTTGACCGTTTGAGTAAGTATGCGCGATTTCTTCCTTGCAAGTACTACGCCACGGCTCCCGAACTTGCGTGCCTCCTACACACCAACTGGATTTGCAGCCATGGCGTGCCGGAAGACATCGTCAGCGACTGCGACACTCGCTTCATGTCGGCATTTTGGACTTCTCTCATGCAGGAATCCGGCATGAAGATGAAACCAAGTTCGTCTCAGCATCCACAAACGGACGGGCAAACAGAGCGGGCACATCAAACCGCTCAAATGATGCTTCGTACACTCATCCGTCCGGATCAGAAGGATTGGGTTGACCGCCTCCCCGACATCGAGTTCGCCTACAACACTTCGTTGCATCCGGCGATCGGCGTAACTCCATTCGAGTTGCACCACGGTGGCCGGAAGGGCCGTATCTTCACTGATCTTCTCCTCCCACGAACAGCCGACATAGACGCTGCTTGCTCCCCCGCTTCCGTTCGGAAGTACAGGGAATTGATGTCTCAAGCCCGCGCGAACATGCAAAAGGCTCAAGTCCGCATGCAGCAGCAAGCCAACAGGCATCGCGTGCCATGTCCCATCCGCGCCGGTGATCTGGTGTGGGTCTCCGTGGAAGAGTTTGCACTCGAACAGGATGTTTCACGCAAACTGCTTCCCAAGTGGTTTGGACCATGGCCCGTGACATCAGCCGCGGGCGATGAGCCCGATGGCCCCTCATTTGTGATCAACATTCCCCCGCATCTGATGGTCCATCCAGTCTTTCACGCCTCGAAGCTGGCAACATATACACCAGCCAAGAGCGACGACTTCCCGGGCCGAAGATCGCAAGATCCTCCATCTATGGACGGTCATCAGGAGGTTGACCGCGTCATCACGGATCGCAAGTACGGCAGCAAGCCTCGACAGTACAAAGTTACATTCAAAGCATGCGATCCGACGACACTCGGTGGATTTCAGGAACAGATTTGAAAGCATCCGCACCGCTGATCTACGCTCACTACGAGCGACAAAGGTTAGCTCAGGGAACTTCACGACCTGCCCCTCCCACCCGGGCTGTGGTCCCTCCCTCAGACAGACAGCTTCGCCCTCGCAGGTAAGCTCGGTCTTTCAAGGAGGGGGGGGTGTGGCATACTGCGCAGCCACACGGGCCTGCAGGGCCTGTCCTGCAGTCTCAGCCTAAAAGCCTAGAAACAAGGGCTTACAGGCCCCGTGTCGTTTCAGCCTGAAAGACTGAAAAACGAGGGCCTGCAGGCCCTATGTCGTTTCAGCCTAAAACAGGGCCTTTCAGGCCCTGAGTCTTTTCAGCCTGAAACGGAGGGCCACTTTCGGGCCCTCGTAAGATCGACCGGCCCTAACACTCAGGCACAAAACCAGGGTTTCAGGAACAGGCTATTTTTGGCCTGTTCCCACGCCAGCCTCAGCAGGAGCTGCAGCGGCAGGCCCTGGCTCACCTCGGCATTGGCAAGAGCAGCCTCCTGGACTGCCCCGCCCTGCAGCTGCAGGCAGTCAGGAGGCAGGCCGAGGTAGTACATAGGGAGTTCCCATGCACTTCACGGGCAGTCAGAGGCCGAGGCAGTAGTAGTCTTCAGGATTCGGCAGCAGCACTCTGGAGGAGCGCTGCAGGAGTAGCTTAGCGCTAGCAGTAGTTTTCAGCGCTGGGCGCTAGTAGCAGTAGCAGTAGTCTTCAGCGCTGGGCTCTAGTAGCAGTAGCAGTAGTCTTCAGCGCTGGGCTCTAGTAGCAGTAGCAGTAGTCTTCAGCGCTGGGCGCTAGTAGCAGTAGCAGTAGTCTTCAGCGCTGGGCGCTAGTAGTGGTAGTAGTAGAGTTGGAGAGAGATGGCTGGCGGAGGCCAGTGAGACTTACCTGTGGCGCCATACCTCCAGCTCCATCTTCGAGGTACCTGCATCAAGGCGCCAGCTTCACAGGCTAGTACCGGACTGAGAGAGAGAGAGAGAGAGAGTTCTTCTTCTTCCTCTTCTAAGTCCACCATCTCTTCTTCACCCTCTCACTACCTGACTTCTCAGTATCAGCGGACTACGACAGAGAGAGAGAGAGTTGTGACTTGAGACTTGACGACATTGGATCCAGACTCGACATTGGGATTCAGACATTTTGACGAGGGACTATTTGGGCCTGTGCCGAAGACTTGGTGTTGACGACATTCCCATCTTCCCCTCTTCTTCGTCTAACCCCCCTCTTCTTCGTCTGTGTATGGTTGGGGACTGGCGCATTCTTCCTGTGTGAGCGCCAGGCCCCTTCACACCATGGAGTGATGATGATGATGTATGTTCGGGGCTGCATTGCAATATTGATTGTTCGGATCATTGGTATCTAAGTCTTCCGCTACGCTATCTTGTACTTTGTGAGAGAGGTCGGTTCTTGGTCTGGTCTGCACCCTTACAGTATGCAACATCAGCTCTGATACGAATAGATATGATCCTGCTCAGTTCACAATGCAAGACTTAACTTGGACATAATCTCATACATCCCAACTCAAGAAGAAGTGGATTCGCACCAGGAGAGAAGAAGAATGAAGAACGGAAGACAAAGAAGAAGAGGAGAAGAATGAAGAGAGAAAGAAGAAGAAGAAGAAGAAGAAGAAGAAGAAGAAGAAGAAGAAGAAGAAGAAGAAGAAAACAGGATTGAACCAATGTCATCTCCTCCGCTTGCCATTATCATCATCATCAGCCGTCACATAATCACCTCGTCCTCGTATTAGCAATAAATACAGTCAGTAGTGAATGAATGAATGAATGAACAAGAATCAATGTCCGAATGATTCTTATTACTGCCAGCACTCAAAGAGCTCTCCTTTAGCTCACTCTCTCTCTCTCCTCCTGTATTGGTTGCATGACTAGCTATGGCAGCTCATCCATGTCTAATATGGACGTTAAAGGAAAATGCACTACTGCCATGCCTCTCCCATTTCAGTTTGTTGTAGCCACACATCTGGATGAAGTTCATGTCAAGCTGGTACCCAAATAGGGGCCTTCTAGATGCAGCGCCAATGAAGGGAGTGGAGATGAAGGTCCACCATAGCCAAAGGTAAGTCTCTTGGGTCAGTTCCCTCCTTCCTCCTCTTATGCCTGTACTCTTCCCTTCCACCTACCTCCAAGCCTAGGTTGATGTCCTGTTCTCTCTGCCTGCATAGCCTAGGTCCTCTCCCTTCTACTACTGCACATCTTCCATAGCCATGAAAGTCTTCTTTCTCACCCCAGCTCCTCCGTCCTCACCCTAGTGCTCTGCCTCACTCTCCCTCAGGCCAAAGAAGCAACATCACTGCGGGGTGAAAGCCATGCCTACCCATTTCAGTGAATGATATACTTGCGCCTCTCCGGCCTCCAGTCCGTCCTATGCAGGTACTCCAGCCTCGTACAGATGCAGAGTCCTACCAGCTGTTCCTGCCCTTCGGTGGGAACATCATTACAGTATGTAACCAGCCTGCAGGCCCCGTATCAAGCCCTAATCAAGCCCTAATCCTTGCATTATTCGTGCATGGTACCATCATGACCCACTTAAAGGCTACCAGACTCTAGGGCCTTTCTGACTCACTGGCGAATCCCTACCCGGTTCCTATCTAGTTCTACTTTGTCCGTCCTAGAGTTTCCTCGAAGTGCGTTCGCCATCCAAATTCCAGCCCTACCCCTGTAACTGTACCTACTCACTGTCATACCCCTCCTGGGACACATAACCGCAGTGCAAGAACAGTTTGATCACGCACACAGACCTAGACTTGGCAAGAATCAGATAGACTCTTGGACACGAAGGCAACACAGTAAACGGACTCAGACTCAGAAATCTCTACAAATCCAACCAACAAACAACATTCCTCAGAAAAATCATAGATGCAGAAATCTCGGACTTGACTGTGCGGGGCATTGACTCATTGCACATTGAGGGTTTTACATCTTTATGTTGTTTAGGGTTTTGGGGCCTCAGCTGCCTCACGTTTTTTTGTCGTCGATTTGCAGCCACATCTTATGGATAATATTGGATATTTAAAAAATTGAAATAAATGCATATAATACATTAACAACAGTACACGCACTTCTAGAGCCCCAAAATACTGTAAGCGGTTTTCTGCCCTTGAAAATGGCTGTTTGAGTTACAGAATGGCACTGGGAAGAACGTTGAAAAGGACGACCGTAAAGAATACAGTGGCAAAACAAGAAAATAATAAGACAGTGCGTGATGCCCCTGGCTTAAGGAAAGAGTTTTTCAGGCAGAGCCTTAAAACAGCACAAGTGACCAAGGGCATACTCACACCAGGACCTGCCTGCATGCATTTGTTGAACAAGTAAGGCCACAGTCAATTGGAAATTTGGAATACTTCAAGGCTGAGTACACGCTAAGCTTTTTTGTCCATCTCTTGTTCTTCTCCTTGCAGACTGCCAGGAAGATCAACTTCAAAGAGTTTTCTTCTGCCTTGGATTTGCTGGCCGAAAAGAAGGGTGTAACTCGGGATGCGGTCATAGGCCTGTCTCTTATACACATCTAGATGTGTATAAGAGACAGGGGGAGGGAGGAGGAGAGTCCAGGTGAACTAGTGACCGAATGATTTGCTTGACAACCGGAAAAGAGAACTCAGGAGAGTCAGAGGCAGGCTCCGCAGGGGCTATTTTCATGCTAAGAACGCACGAACCTGGCCACTTTTATGGCCAGGTTCAGTTTTCCAAGCACGAACATATCACTAGTGGGGACTCCTCAGTATGAGCTGGCTGTCAAGAAACAGAATTCCACTGCACGTACCAACTGGGCTAGCTCCATTAGTACACACACACCTGAACTGTTGAAATACAGAACCGAGTTCAAACTCCACCGGAAACAGATGAGTAAAATACTAAAGTTGATAATAGTTCTGAATTACCTACAGCCGGTCAGTTCCATGATGATATCTCAAGGCTGTCGCCCTTTCAAAAAAGAAGAGAGAAGAAAGAGAAAAGGAAGAAAAAGAAGAATTTCACTGCAAAAAAACGCCCACCTTTTCCTTGTTGTCTGTCTTTTTATGCATGTGTACCTCCCTCTCTCTCTCTCTCTCTCTCTCTCTCTCTCTCTCTCTCTCTCTCTCTCTCTCTCTCTCTCTCTCTCTCTNCGCCCGCTGTGGGGTCCCGGAAACGGCCTCTTGGAAAAGTTTTTCCTTGCCGCTTTTCTGTGGGGTCCAGACTGACCCTGTCTCTTATACACATCTAGATGTGTATAAGAGACAGATCCCATGCTGCCGTCACGCCACTACAGTACTGTTAGCATGCTCTCCTTCCTCTGCTCCGAACACTACGAAGGGATGGTCACTGTCAGCGTCTGCTGCAAAAACTGCAACCCTTTGTCTTGTACTCATCCCCCGCAGCCCCTAATTAATTGCCCAATGCCCAGCATGCCGTTGTGGCCTTGACCTGCCATGCTTAAATAGATGCGAACGTCAGCCTACTTTCCTACTGGCATGTCTGCAACATGCCATGTGTCGTCAATGTTTCCAGGAAGCTGTCATAGAAAGTATGTCTCTCTCCTGCATGGAGTATCCCTGGTGCCGTCATCCGCCACATCCTCTCCTAGCATGTGCCACATGCAGTGTTGGGTATACACCTACTGCAACTGCAGACGGATTTCCTTCCTCCTTGCCAGACAAACGACTGACTCAGCAGCTTGAGGAGGAAAACAGACTACCATATGAACCACCTACAGAGCGCTGTACTGAAAGGCTATCACGACCAGGGCGAGCTGCCGCAGACCAAATCCCGCAGTAGCTAAACACCCTTGCTTTGAATCAATCCCTGTTGTCGTCTGCCCATAGAGAGGGAATAAACATTGCTGAAACCCAAGAAACCTGCTCAATGCCGCTCTGTGACGACCCACCGCAGCTTCGGCTAGCATGTGGTTCCCATGCCTTGTGCCGTGAGGATTATGAAGGGATAGCCCATGCGAGTTTTTGTTTGCATACGTATTATAACTGTCAATATTGCAGTCATGCATGGCACCCTGACATGTCTTGTCCGATTTGTAGACGGGCTGGAAC